TCTTCTCCCTCTCCCTCTCCTCTGCCTCTCCTTTCCCTCTCCCTCTCCTCTACCTCCCCACCTTAACTCATACAATAATAAATATACACCATTCATTAGACCCTGTAGGTTATATTTTATGTAAATGATTTATCTTTCCATCTACCCCTGCACCACGCACACAAATTTTTGTATTCAATATATGTATATGATATTAAGTTGTAAGTTACAGCATAAAATCATTTTTTAAACCAAACCATTAAATTATAATACAGTTTTAAAATCTCTTGTCCTGCAAATATAATGCTTGTTTCGCAAAACTGAAAGTTCTTGGTAAAACATCAAACACTATACAAATGCATGTTAGCATACTTTTATCCAAGTGGCCCATTATTTTAAACAATCATAGTGTAGCCTATATTCTAAATATGAATGAAACTTCCCATTATCCTCACCTCTAAAATCTTCTAAACGCTTATTGTTCTTCAGTGCTAAAAGTGCAGTTTTTAGGGAAATATATCCTTTTTCTGTAAAGAGAAAAATAGTAAAAAGATAAATTAACAATTTCTTGAATCTGTTAAGCTAAATAGGTTTACTTACTACCTCCTTAAAGCATCTTATGATTTTTCTACTCTGTACAGTTTTGTGTTCTCTACTCTGTTCAGCCCGTGTTCTCTTGGTTCTCTTCTCATTGTAATCTTCAAATGTTCCCAGGATTTTCTTGAACCATAAACTGTGTGCTTATGACTTCCAAGCTTCTATTTCTATCCTACACCACTGTCTACTGTACATTTTCAATCCTGTCCACAACCATATTAAAAACAAAACATCTGGCCGGCCCCGCAGCTCACTAGGCTAATCCTCCACGTGTGGCGCCGGCACCCCAGGTTCTAGTCACAGTCAGGGCGCCGGATTCTGTCCCGGTTACCCCTCTTCCAGGCCAGCTCTCAGCTATGGCCCAGGAGGGCAGTGAAGGATGGCCCAAGTGCTTGGGCCTTGCACCCGCATGGGAGACCAGGAGAAGCACCTGGCTCCTGGCTATGGATCAGCGTGGTGCGCCAGCCACAGCGGCCATTGGAGGGTGAACCAACAGCAAAGGAAGACCTTTCTCTCTGTCGCTCTCTCACTGTCCACTCTGCCTGTCAAAAAAAAAATCTGAAGACATCATCCCTCAACTAAAACCTGATTTGCCTCCTGGGTTCAACATCATATTAAAAGGCATCACCATGTAAGAAGTCTTCCAGGTCAGATACTCTTACTCATCCTCAATTCCTCTTTCTCTTCCTTTGCTGACTTAATCAAACAATGATGAGCTTTGACTTCTTCAGTCTCATATGTGTTCCCCTCTTTCTATCCCAAGAGTCAATGCCTTAGTTCAACACATAATTTTTAGCCAGGATTATTACATGTTTTCCTTGTTTCTAAACTCACCCTCCTTTAATCCTTAGCATAATACCTATTATAAAATACAAAATTAATCATGCCATTCTTCAACTTCAAATTCTTCAAATGAATTCTTTGATAATTCTTCAGAGACTTCAAGACAAAGTTCAAATCCTTTTATTCAGAAACAAATAAAAACTCTCATTGATCTTCCCTTGACTATATTACCACCTCATTTTTCCTTCTCTATCATGCTCCATACTAATCAAACTTTGATTCCCATAAAAATGCACTATGTGGGACTGACATTGTAGTGTAGCAGGTTAAACAGCAGCCTGTGATGTCAGCATCCCAAATGGGTGCCAGTTTGAGTACCAGCTGCTCCACTTCCAATCCAGCTTTCTGCTCATGGCCTGGAAAAGCACTGGGAGATGGCCCAAGTACTTGGGTCCCTGCACCATATGGAAGACTCAGAAGAAGCTCCTGGCTCCTGGCTCCAGCCAGCCCAACCCTGGTGGGGTTTCTGCTACTTAGAGAATGTGCCAGAAGATGGAAAATTTCTCTCTCTCCTCTCTCTCTCTCCTCCCTCCCTCTCCCCCACACCCCTGTCTGTAACTCTGTGGAGCTTACAGAGAAATACACATACATGCCTTGGTCCTTGGTCCTGGTGCAGATATTCTGAACTACTGGAATTTCCTTGACTTCTCCATTAACTTCCTCCTTCTACACTTTACATATACTTAGTATTCACTCCTAACTCCTTCCAGGGCACACACCGGCATCTCTGATTCTTGGCTAACTGGATATTATCATTCTTTTATATTTTTAGGCAAATCATGGCAGGTGATCACTATTATTTTAATTTTCCCTTTCCTAACTACTAGAGGTGTTGAATTTCTTATATACTGGCCATTAGTACATTTTCTTATTATGGAATATACATGAAACATATACAAGGAATCTTCAAAAAGCTCATAGAAAACATATATTTTGAAAATTATGTATGAATTTCAAAATTTTTTGCCCTGAAATAAACTTTTAATTCCATTTTTCCAAAAAAAAAAAAAAAAAAAAAAAGCACACACAATAACCACCAAAATTTGAAAATTACATATTCTTTTCTCCGGAAACTCTGAGGATTCACACTTAATCTACCTTGTGTCATAAATATTTCAGGCAGTGAATAGAAACTCCTCCCTTACTCTCTTCCTATATAACAGCAGTTCACTTCAGAACAAACTTATCAGAAAATTACTCCACCGTCTCTAATTTACATCATAGGTGCTCAAAGCAAACAAATATATCCTAATGAAATAAACACAGGATATATGATTCTATAAAACATTTTAAATTTTTATCTTACAATCTTGTTAAAAGATTTCTTTATTAGGGGCCATAGGTTAATCCCCTATGGGTACTGGTTCTAGTCCCAGCGGCTCCTCTTCCCATCCAGCTCTATGCTATGGCCTGGGAAAGCAATAGAAGATGGTCCAAGTCCTTGGGCCCCTGAACCCACGTGGGAGAGAGGCACCTAGCTCCTGGCTTTGGATTGGCACAGCTCAGGTTGTTGCGGCCAATTGGGGAGTGAACCAACGGACGGAAGACCTTTCTCTCTGTCTCTCCCTCTCACTGTCTGTAACTCTACCTCATATATAAATAAATAAAATCTTTAAATATATATATAAAAGATTTCTTTAACAACATAAACATTATCTCAGTACAACTGTTCTGTTAGAGTGTTTTTGCCATTGAGATAAATAATGAGAACATTTCCTGGGGAGTGATGAATGGAAGATAGGAAAGGCAAGTGGGAAAATTACAAAAATTGACTTTAAAAATTTTAAAAATTAACTTATAGAGTGATTATAAATACCATCAACATCAAGTGTTTTCTCTAACATCTGATGTTCTTCAGGCTTTAAAGAGATATTGAGGTCTTCAAAAGCATCTTTCAAGTCATTAACTGGAATTCTGTCATCATTTATCAAGTTGACATTTTTGAGGGCAGTGTTTATACCTGAAAACAAATGGAGATTCTTTAAGATACTTAGTACTGTTTGGAAATGATTTTCTACCTTCTAAACTTCTGAATAATAACATATCTAAAATTATAGACTGAAGTCCAAACATATGTAGATATGTATATATATTTAAATTAATACTTTGATTCTTAAATTATTAAAATTAGCCAAAAATCTATATTCCAATTATTCCCCTTAGATGATGTTATTTTAGTTTCATTATCAAAAACTTAAGTTTTTGGGCCGGCGCCGTGGCTCAATAGGCTAATCCTCCACCTTGCGGCGCCGGCACACTGGGTTCTAGTCCCGGTCGGGGCTCCGGATTCTGTCCCGGTTGCCCCTCTTCCAGGCCAGCTCTCAGCTATGGCCAGGGAGTGCAGTGGAGGATGGCCCAGGTGCTTGGGCCCTGCACCCCATGGGAGACCAGGAAAAAGCACCTGGATCCTGTCTCCTGCCATCGGATCAGCGCGGTGCGCCGGCTGCAGCGGCGGCCATTGGAGGGTGAACCAACGGCAAAGGAAGACCTTTCTCTCTCTGTCTCTCTCTCTCACTGTCCACTCTGCCTGTCAAAAAAAAAAAAAACTTAAGTTTTTAAAAAAATTTTAACTAAATAAGATGACCAATTTTTTAAAAAAATAAAGTATAGCCATTACTGCATCACCTAAGAAAATATTTAATTTTATATCACTGGAAAATAATTCAAGGATGAATTCTGTCTATATGGAACTGCAGAAATTTCAAGTAATGAGTAATACTAATCTTCCCTTGTACCCACATGGGAGATCTGGATAAAGTTCCTGGTCCCTAGCTTTGGATGGGACCAGCTCTAGCTCTTGTGGCCATCTGGGGAGTGAACCAGAGGATGGAAGATCTCTCTCTCTCGCTCACTCGCTCGCTCTTGCTCTCTCTCTCCATGTCTCTCCCTTTCTCTCTCTGGAATTCTGCCTTTCAAATAAATAAATCTTCTATTAAAAAATAAATATTAGTTCTAAATTATCTTCTGCTTATATATTTTGCTATTCTATTCTTTTTTTGCTCATTCTTCAAACTTTCATTCTTCTATTAAAAGTCTCTCAAAAAAGTGCAGGAGTGTTAAGTCTTTATGAATATGTTATGTCTAAATTTTTAATCCAAAAGTTAAAACCTAATCCTTTCTTTTTAAACTAAAAGACACCTATACACAAAAGTCAACTGTCAACAAAATTTGTAGATGGAGTTTATACTGAAGGGTTTCAAGGTTATAGAAAATAGATAGAAGATATTGTCTGTGAAGAAACTAAAAATGTTTAATATTCTTTCATGCATTATGTATTTTCCCTAGTTTTAACTTCCAGTTTTCTCCTTTAAACAGGGTACTGAAGATTACAACCATATCTCCAACTGCTTTACTAATGAGTTAGACAAATCACAATATATACTCCACATCACTATTTAGGTCATGATCTCTACTTTATCAAAGAGAGTATTAAAAATGCTGAAGAAGAGGCAAAGGACTGGTACCTAAGAGAGTTATAGAATTAGCTTATTTAAAAAATCATATTCTCCCACAAGCCACCTAGTTCTCTCCATCTGCACATATAATTTCCTCAGGAAACTAGTTCTTTCCAGCAGGTTTTAGATGCAAGTGTTGAGACTCTGAGTTGAGACTATTCTACTTCTTCCAACCATCCCAGAGTTCTGACACACAAGATCACTTTCTCTTGGCTAAATGAGGAAATAAGGGCAAGGAGGGCAAGAAAGAGAAGACTTCTCCCTTAAACATTTCTTTGGACAGACAATCCACTTTCGCTTTTACAAGCTGATTTCTTGACCTCTGTATTTTCTTCTCTCACAGCTAATCATCCTCTTTCTGCCTCTTTGGTTCTATTCCTTAGTCTTACTTGCTATATTGTTATACATCTTTATATGTACCATTCTCTCTCATTTATTTTTCTCTCATATTTTATATACCTTTTTTCATACCCTTCTGCATTCTACTCATATCAAATGTTCTCAAATACGTATTATAAATAATTTGTTGTTTGGCATTAGTTATCTTCACGTGGACCAATTATAAGTTCTATATTTGAAACAAAAGCACATATCTAGATATCTTTAGATATCCTAATCTAGAGCAAAATACTTTACAACTAAACTATAAATAAACAAAAATTATTACAATTAAAATGCATATGGATAGACTTATTCCTAACAGTTCTTTGTTACAAAGAAAAGAACTTTTTTTTAAGTTTTTATTTAATGAATGCATTTTTCATAGCTACATCTTTAGGAATATAGTGGTTTTTTCCTCCATACTCACCCTCCACCCCAACTCCCATCCCACTTCCCTCACCCTCTCCCATCCTCTTCTTCATTATGGTTCATTTTTAGTTTCATTTTATATACAGAGGACCAACTCCATGTTAAGCATAGATTTCAACAGTTAAAGCAAGAACTTATCTTGATCATTTAGAAAAGATTAAAAATGGCTTTAAAAAGAAATTAAACTGCTTTCAGTTAATTATATTGTTTCCTTGAAGCTATCAATGAAATTTTCAAACTATAATTACTTGATAAAACTACAATATTTTCTTGAAAAACATGTATACCTAGTAAATTTTATAACTCAGAAGGCACATACAATACAGAAAAGAAATAAATTTTTTGTAAAAAAAATAAGTTTAATTCATACTTTATCTGTATATAAAAATTAACAAAAAATCTGGGTTGGCTTTGTGGCACAACAGGTTAAGCCTCCTCTGTGACACTAGCATCCCATATCAGCATGCTGCTCTGCTTCCAACCCAGCTTCCTGCTAATATGCTTGGGAAGGCAATGGAAGATGGATAAGTACTTGGGACACTGTCTCCCTTGTGAGAGGCAAGATGGAGTTCCTGATTCCCGGCTTCAGCCTGGCACAGACATAGCTGTTGCAGTCATTTGAGGAGTGCACTGGCTGAAGGAAGATCTCTCTAACTCTGTCCCTCTATCTGCCGTTCCACCTTTCAAATAAATAAATAAATTTTTAAAATTAAATCAGGGAGATCCAAGATGGCTGTGTAGTGGCCTCAGCCACAGAAAGATAACAGAAAAACAAGGAAGGAGCATGTTCTCAGGGGACTGGTTAAGAAAAATTTTCAGTGGAGAACTGACAGAACAGAGACTTAATGGGGCAGCAAAGAGAGAGGGTATATACATCACCACTGGCCATAATGTCAGCCACTCCTGCATCTACACGACCGGTTCCCAGCCGGGAAATGTCATCTTGCCAAGAAAAAGTAAGAAGAGGGTGCTGTAGCCCCTGTCACCAGCAGCTTTAACTGACAGGGAATTCCACAGTCCTCACTGACTTCAAGCCCAGCCTGGGAGCTGACTGGGGTCTGACAGAGTATTTTGCTCCAGAAAAGGAAGCTACATTGACTCCTCACCCCCACCAAAATGCCAGACTCTGAGGTGGTAGAGTCACTGCTGAACTCTGTTCTGACTCAGAGGATAACAAGCAGTCCCATTGTCACCAGAAATCGCCAGAGCAGAGCACTTTACAGGATGGGCAGAAGACCCTATTACCCTGTGACTGTGGAAGCTCTGGACAAAAGCCCTGAAGCCTAGAAAGCCATAGTGTGTGGCTGGGTTCCTATCCACATGCCAGTCTGCTTTAGTAACTCAAAGCTCCCTGCACTGGAGACGGATCTCACGGTGAGGTCAGGGGACACGTGACAGAGTGAATCAGTGCTCTGGATGACGCACATGCCTGGATGGGTGAAGTGCACTGGCCCTGTGAGCTCACTCTAAATCATGAATCAGCTAGTTCACCTTGGCACAAAGAAAAGCTAGGACTTAGAATAAACTACTCAGCTCCAACATCCCTTTCCCCCAGTTACTGTAGCCGAAGATGGTCTACCATGCCCATATTTGGTGTCACTCTGGACTTTGCCTCACTCACAAATTGGTCTGAGTGCCCTAACCCCACCAAGCACACACCCCTGGATCTCAAGTGTAATCCTTAGGTGTTCCATTAAGCCCCAGAGGCACATCTCCAGGAATAAATTTTAACTTCAAAGGAAAATCCTCCAGAAGTGATAGAAGCAAGCAATCCCCCAAATGCACAAAAATCAACATAGAAGCAAGAAACAGGGGCTGGTGCTGTGGCGCAGTAGGTTAATCCTTCACCTGTAGCGACTGCACCCCATATGGGTGCCAGTTCTAGTCTTGGCTGCCCCTCTTCCAATCCAGCTCTCTGCTATGGCCTGGGAAAGCAGTAGAAGATGGCCCAAGTGCTTGGGCCCTTGCACCCGCATGGGAAACTGGGAAGAAGCACCTGGCTCCTGGCTTCAGATCTGCGCAGTTCCAGCCGTTGCGGCCATCTGGAGAGTGAACCAATGGAAGGAAGACCTTTCTCTCTCTCTCCCTCTCACTGTCTATAACTCTACCTCTCAAATAAATAAATAAAATCTTTATTAAAAAAAAAAGCAAGAAACAGAACAAGGAAAACAACATGACTCCTAGAAAGGAACACATTGATACATTAATATTGGACTATGAAGAAGGGGATATTGATGAAATGCTTGAAAAAGAAATCAAAACAATGAATGTAAGGTTACTCAAAAAGATAGGTAAACAGCTAACTGATTAAAATAAGTATATGACATGGATAAAAAAATTTGTAAAGAGATAAGAGATACTGAAAGAGAACCAGAGATATTATAAATAAAGTATTCAGTAAGTCAAACTAAAAATAGTGGAAAGCCTAAGCAACACACTTAACTGGACAGAAGAAAGAATATCTGATACAGAAGGCAGGTCTTTTGAAATATCCCTGACACAAAAAAAGAAGACAAAAATAAGAAAGACTGAAACAGTGTTCAGGATCTATGGGATATAATCAAACAACAAAATATACAAGTTTTAGGAGTTTTGAAGATGCATAAAATGGAATAGCTTAGAAAACCTCTTAAGTAACATAACAGAAGAAAATTTCCCCAGTTTGAAGAAAGATACAGACAACAAATACAGGAAG